TATATATATATATATATATCTTGTACTCTTCCACGCGAGATGATAATTTAATAATTTAAATACGGACAACTGTCACAGATGCGATCCAATTTAAGATAAGGGCACGTTCACACCTTGACAGAAAAATAGAAAGCAGAAAAGCAGCATCTGGAACTTGTGCTATGTCACTATGTTAACTCGACAAGACTCAAAAATACACAAGTTACAATTTTTAAACAAATGAAGCCTCTGTTCCCCGAGGAGGTGTGTCTCTAGATCCTTTTTTATCACATACTGTGACCCTTCATAGACTTCATGATGAGTTGGTAAACCAGAGACCTTAAGAAGAATTTGCACTGATAGTCGACAATTACGACTTTCTGTACTATTTACTATCAGCGCAGAGTTCTTTTTTTTCTTCTTAAAATCTCTTATGAAATGTTTACCAACCCATTACGATCACAATTTGAGTCGAGTGATTACCGCTCTGTGCGATTGATTCGCGATCTGTAGATTCGGATTCAATCCCACCTGCGCCCACATACGCGATTTTTCGTTTAAGGAGCACCGAAATTGACTCCATCTGATTAAGAGATCTTTAATCACCAGCGTGGTACAATTAAAAATAACAGATATAGCAATAATTGGAATTGTTAGCACATTCATATCAACTTGATTTCATACGCTGACAAATCCCATAGCTGCTTATATCTGTTATTTTTTATTGTATCATGCGATAAAAGAGGATCCAGAGATCCACAATCTCCTCAGGGAACAAGCTTCGCTTGTTCAAAATTGTAACTTGTGTATTCTTGAGTCCTGTCATCAACATAGCGATTTAGCGCAAGTTCTGATTGACTGCTGCTTTTCTGCTTTTCTGTGTTTTCTCGTCGATAATCACTTGGTATAATCATAGTACATCGAGAGTTTGGATTTGTTTGTGATTATTCTTTGTCGCGAACGTCGTTCATACGTGCTTGGAGTGTCTATACAAAACATAGACATGAGGAATAATCACGGGATACAGATAAATAGGCAAAGAGATGGGAAAGAATTACTACAAGATACTTAGCATAGCTAAAGGAGCGAGCGACGAAGAGATAAGCCATATAGAAAGTTAGCTTTATATCCTCCTGATAAAAACAGCCCCGGTGCTGAGAAAAAATTCAAGAAATAGCCGACGCCCCGCGCACGCGGCGCTTAGCACGAAAATCGTGACAACTGGTAGCATCATTGTCATGACTCGTATAAATTTTTTCATGCGCGCCAATTGCGCGTATTTGCACGAGACTAAATTCGGAGATCCTAATATCTATAAGCCATCCTCTAATCTTTTACAACTAATGAGATTCATTAATGGCAAACGCAATAAAGGGGGATATGCATTTTGGGCGATTTGGGGAGCATGTAGGCAGCATGCTGAATTCCATTTTTTTATTTAATTTTATCTGATAAATCTGAAAATCATAGTTAAAATATTCCTAGATCAATATTTTTATAGAAATACACACATTATTAGCATCTAAGTCTTAAAGACATTACTTAAAACAGTTGAAATAAAAATGGACTATTTATATTTAAGACTATACTTAAAACGATTTTAAATATAAAAAAAAAAATATTATAAATACTGGTTTTAATTTTTGAGAAAAGGGTACATATTTTAAACAGAAAAATGTAATGGCTACTTTTATCATTTTGTTGAGTGAATATCAGTGAATTTCCCTTTCAATCTATTTTTATTAAAAACAGATGACTTTACTTACTTTTACTAATATTTGAAAAAAAATCTTTCTGTCTTAAAAGATGCGCGTGCGAAACGAATTCTCTATCTAAAATCCAAATTGATTAAATGACTAATTTATTCTTTAGTATTAGTAAAAATCACAATTTTAATAAGAACAGATTGAGAGGAATTTGCTAACATAGATTGACATAATGAAAAAAAATCAACTGTTTTTTCTGTTTAAAATATATCTTAAATTTTTTTCAGAAATATTTTGATCATATTTTTGGATCAATAAATAAAATCAAATATAAAAAAAATGAAATCAATAATTCTTGTTCTCCAAATCTCTCGAAATGCATATCCTTTCATATCACATTATAATAAAAATTCTGACACTGCAACACACATACATATCATTACTACACAATCATTTTAGAGACAATTTCTATGAATTCTTCTAATATTCTTGAATATCCATTATATCAAGAGTTTCCAAGTATTCATTAAATATTTTATTATTTTTTGTATAAAAAGTTATATATAAGACATATAAATACACATGATGTCATATATAGTGCGTTAAAAAAATATTACTTTTTGAGAGAAGAGAAAGATTTCAGAAACTACAAGTATGTAAGTGTAATATTATATATTAACTATATTATAAATTTTTTTCTCTGATGTAAATTCTTTTATATTTTCTTTTCTCTGTTCAGGATATTTGTAATTTAAAGAAAATTTTTTTTTGTTTAGAGAAGAATTTCTTTTTTTTTCAATATAAATATTTTGATATGACAGAATAAAACTGTCAATATTAATAAATATTTCAATATATTTACAAGATCATATTTACAAGGTTGGATATTCAAGGAATATTTTCTTCACACACAAGAATTTGTATGTAAAAATATTCCATACATCTCTGTATATGTCTGTGTTAATAATTTATAATTCATCGACAATTTTCCTAAAATCATTTGGCATCCTATTGATGTATATTTTTCGCACGTCTTCGTGCATTACGGGAATAAACTCGTTGAAAATACCAACCTGAATCGTTAGGCTGTTTCGCACGTCTTCGTGCATTTCTACGGGAATAAACTCGTCGAAAATACCAATCCGAATCGTCAGGTTGTCGATGCTTGTTATACTTATAAGATCTGCACAAAAGAGTTACTTTTTAAAAATCATAATTATTTGTAAGCGCATTAAGTTATTTGAATTCGTAATAGATTGCAATATTATATAAATTGTATTTTGTTAGAAATTAGTACCTTTCGTTATCACTCCTTTCGTTTGTATTTATATAGTGTTGATTATCTTGTTTCATTGTGCTATCAAACGAAGAATGTTTAGACACATGATAATTAACAGTGTGCTCCGATATGTGATTCTTTATTTTATTTTGAGAGGGTATATATTTTTTTTCATAATTTGCTTTATCATTAATGACATTTTTGGTGGAGCCATTTGATTTAAAATATTCTTTTTTCTTTGGTCTATTTTTTTCTTTGGCAGACAAAATTTTTGGAGAATTTTCGTGATCCATTACAGTTCTCTTGCTATTTGTATCATATTTATGTTTGTAATTCTTTGTTTTTTAATGAAAACAAATTTATTATTTATATTTATTATATGAAATTTTTTATATTATATACAATTTCTATATATATTTACTATTTTATACATATATTTTATACATTATTTATTCACTTACAATTCAAAAAATTATGAGAAATTAACAATTTTGCACAATTTACAACTTACAGTCGGTACGGTGTCGAATATGCTCATATTAATATTAAATTCTGGACAATAGTTAGTGGAGAGTGGACATGTATTTTTCAGTTGCGCTATGATATTATCAAAACTATTATCTGATCGTAAGTCATCATTCTTTCCTTCGC